TATATATATATATATTAATTTCCAAGCCTAAATTCAAGTCCGATTGGAGGTCATTTAGCCGAGTACAATCAGGAGAGAGAAAATTGATAATTTTGATAATAACGGATTATTTGGCCATACCAATCTCAAAATGACCTCAAATTAAGTTTGGCTTCAACAAAAATTATTCTAAATTAAAGAACACACAATATGGTCTAATAAAATTAATTAAATAATTCTAACTCAAAATTGATCATTTTCTCACTTATAAGAGATTTGGCCCACTTTAATTTGAAATATCTTCATATGAAGCTTGATTTGACCACAATCACTTGCACCATTGAAGTTCTTGAATTTATCTCTATTTAATGAGCTCAAGTCAAAATTTTGACCATAACCAACTTGTAACTACCCTATAATCACCTTGTAACCAACTTTTAACCACACCTAGTCACTTCAAATGCTCATAACTTGAGCTAGGATCCCTTTTTTTTTTAAAGCTATGGACCACTTAATTCCTTATTTTGTACACATTCAAATGATCTATACTTGCATTTTTTTCATAACTACCTAAAAAAATTACCAAAATATCCTTCCATTTTTTAAAGTTTTCCTTCATTTCCTTTGATTTAAGCTTTCCATTTCTTTCCCCAACTCCCTCCATCTGACCACTCTCCCCTTGCCATCTCACCAATCCATCTACTCAGCTCTCATTGGTCCACTTCACGCATTCACCCCCTGCATTCTCTGTCCTCTATGTCATCAAATCTAATATCTCATTCTCTCTCTTAACTCCCTCCTCCATCATATTCATCCACCTCATCCTCATAACAATGTTTCCCCCCAAAATCTCTCTATAACTCTCCCCCTCATGTAAACCATGACCCACGCCCCGTCATTCCTACTAATCTTCCATATTTTTAGTTCCTCAAACATTCTCTCCTCTCCCTTCTTCAAAAAAAAAAACATCCCTCCCTCGCTTTTTTTATAAAATCAAGAGGCTCCATCACTTGTTCACCGTAA